TCGAAGATCTACATCTGGTTATTGTGTCTTTGTTGGTGGTAATCTTGTATCTTGGAAGAGTAAGAAGCAGAATGTGGTTTCTCGTTCGAGTGCCGAATCAGAATATCGAGCTATGGCACAATCTGCATGTGAGATCATATGGATAAGCCATTTATTGACCGAGCTCGGACTGAAGACATCAATGCCTGCTAAATTGTGGTGTGATAACCAAGCTGCTATACACATAGCAAACAATCCTGTATTTCATGAGAGAACAAAGCATATTGAGGTCGATTGTCATTTTATTCGAGAGAAGATACAAAAAGGATTGATCTCTACAGGATATGTGAAGACTGGGGAACAACTTGGAGATTTGTTCACTAAAACACTAAATGGAATTCGAGTTGGTTATTTATGTAACAAGTTGGGCATGATAAATATCTATGCTCCAACTTGAGGGGGAGTGTGAAAGTATATTAGAATATACTTTAGAATATGCTTTAGAATATATTAGGAATATACCATATATAGTATTATTGTATAACATCTTTTATAGGAATATTCTATCTTTGTAATCTATATTTATAGGGCCTTACCCTTCAATGAAATACACAGAAAATCTTTCTCTCCATCTTTAATATCATTTTAGTTTATATTTAAACAAGGGCTGTGCAAGAATCGGGTCAAACTGGCAAACCGGAACCGAACCGGTTAAACCGGATCCGGACCGGACCGGTATGTAATCCGGTCCGGTTTTCGGTTTTAGAATTTAAGTGAACCGGTTACCGGTCCGGGTCTGGTTAATACTGATAGAGACCTTTAATATCAAGAAACAAGAAAAATCTTTATTGAAGGAGATGATGAACAGTAACAAGTACAAAGGCCGAAGCCCCCAAACTGAGCCGAAGCCCCCCAAAGAAAGAGCAAACACTCGATCTTCCCAGTCCCAAGACTAAACAGTCCAAAAGCCTACCTTATGCCTTCCTCTCCTTTTCTATTTATAGTATAAGCCCTCTTAGTATTCTTTATAATAATAGGCCCAAAACTACCAGGCCCACTAAACAGTATCTATTCTTCTAGTATTCATATTAGAATTATTATCTATTATTAATCTAAAAGGTAGATTCCTATCAATACTTCCCCCCAAAACATCCACCTTGTCCTCAAGGTGGGTAATAGGAGAAAGCCACAATCTTCTGCTTCTTCCTCTTCTTCCTTGCTCCTCTTCCTTCCCAATACATGACTGTAGGTTGGTCAAGGAGTTTCCATTCGTGAATATTCATCCTCACTTCTAGCAGAAACAGCACTAGATCCTCTCTTTTCAAAGCATCCATACTATTCAGGTGGTTCTGTTCCTGCTGGTACTGATCTTCATTCATCACCTTCTCTGTAATATAGATTCTTCCTTCACTCTTTCTAGCCTCTGTATCTTTAGCATCAAAATATTTTTCAAAGATAAAACTGTTTCTCTTGTTTTCAAAGATAAACAGCCCCCGATAGAAACATTCCTGAATTCTCCTTGCTTCCCTAACTGGATCTGCCTCCAACTTTCTTGGTCCAAACAAGTAGGGCTCCATTTTTATATTTCCAACAATATCAACTATCTTGTATTCCGTTAAAATTCCACAACTGGAACAATTCACTTCGGAATCCTTGAAGCAGAAGACCTTTTTATAAGGTTGAGCATTCACTTCAGCTTGCATCCCATTAACAATTTCTAGTTTTACAGATAAATCCCTGATTTGTTCATTCTGGGTAATCTTAAGTGAAGCAGCTTGAATAATTGAGTCTAGATCCGCATAGACTCTACCCCACTGGTATTCAAGAACAAACTCAAGAACAACCGTAGCAGAATTGGTGTTCATGTCCTGAACATCCACTTTAATCTGCTTATCAGAAATTTTGGACCTACCAATTGTTTCAACTACATTTGACTTTTCTCCCATTGAATTGTGATTGACTTTCATAATGCTTTTCAGCAAAACAATGCCATCCTCTGCTGCACTTCGAGTATACCTGACATCATTCCTCCAAACAACTCCCATAGGCATATGCCACCAAAATCTCTCTGCCAATGCTTGTTCCTCAAAAGGAGAATCCATTTTTACTTGATTTCTTGAAACAAAGAGGGGGAAAATCCAAACTATCTTCAATTTTGCACAATCTTTGCTAGTATGAAGCAACCCAGGAACCAAGCAACACTGTGGACGAGAATACAAAATCAGTTCCTTCCTTACCAAATACATCAGCCCTAATTCTTTGGTTCCAATCTTGCTAGATGAAGGAAGTTCACTTCCTCTCAAAGAGTTCCAACCTTTGCTGTTGTTATTCCAACTGGAAAGATTGTCACAAGTGAGGGAACGAGCAATTGCTCCAGCTTCAGGTCCAAGATGAACTGAAGATTTATCAATGTCTTCCTCTTCGCCATAAGTTTGTGTAGCTTCCGTGTATGGTTGCTTCTGATTAACCAACTCCTGTTCTGACTCTAGGTATTCAAATAAAGATTTCGAGCTGAAGTCTTCTGCTTGCGTAGAAACCAGAGGTCCCGAAGAATTTGCTTTAGAATCCAGAGGAGCTACTTGAAACGAAGAAGGCGACGAGTGAGAATTTACTGGTGAAGACGAAGATTCTCCACTCCATCGCGTCTTTCTTGGACTTGAACAGTTAGCCGGTGAGGACTTATTTCGCGATTGTGAACTAGAACTAGTTCGTGACTCCGACCGCGAGATGGTGAACGACTGCGACGTACCTTGCTTGTCTGAAGGCGGATGAAGTCTGTTGTTCCTCGATCGTTCTGAACTAACTGAGTGTCGATGATGAGAGTTGCGATGCGTAGGAGAGTAGTCAAAATTCCCTTCCGATTCCTCTGGATTGGATGACCTTCGCGAAGGATGATGCGAAGTATGACGAGAAGAGCTATGCGAAGAGCGATGGCGAGAACTTTCCGAAGAGCGATGCGAAGACTGATTCGCGTGGTGCGACTTGTGCGATGTGTGTCGCGAACTACTCTGGACCTTATTCTCCAACTTTGCGATGTCCGCCTCCGAAGATAGATGATGAGAGTCGCGATGCGACCTCAGAGAAGTGTGCGATCGGTTCTTAATCTCCGCGAATCCAGCCTGCATCATAGCTTTCAATTTCTCAAATTTCGCATTTAATTCCGTCTGGCTTCTATCGATCTTCCTTTCCAGCGAATCCAACCTCTCCTCCATTTCTGGCGTACAGAATTCTTCCATCGTTCAGATTCTCGGTCTCCAGGAAGTAAGTCTCTGATACCAATGATAGAGACCTTTAACTATTCAGAGATTACAGAAGCTAATATCAAGAAACAAGAAAAATCTTTATTGAAGGAGATGATGAACAGTAACAAGTACAAAGGCCGAAGCCCCCAAACTGAGCCGAAGCCCCCCAAAGAAAGAGCAAACACTCGATCTTCCCAGTCCCAAGACTAAACAGTCCAAAAGCCTACCTTATGCCTTCCTCTCCTTTTCTATTTATAGTATAAGCCCTCTTAGTATTCTTTATAATAATAGGCCCAAAACTACCAGGCCCACTAAACAGTATCTATTCTTCTAGTATTCATATTAGAATTATTATCTATTATTAATCTAAAAGGTAGATTCCTATCAAATACCCGGATATAATCCGGTTCAAACCGGAAATTAATAAAACACTATGTATTCCCAAATGAATGAATTCCGCGGCCAGAAACCCAACTCCGTATATTCGTATAACCCTAAATCCATAACTCCCTAAATCGCAAGTCTAATTCCAAAGAGCAAAGACTTGTTCGTTCATGTTCTTCGATCCAACGGCCTGGCGCACCACCGTAGAAATCCGGCCTGAGGTTGGCGCACCACCGTATTCATCTCACTCTGTTTCTTCACATAATCTGCGGCGGTGAGCAGCCAAGAGGGACGGCGGTAACAGGTCATAGGTCAGAGCAACACCAGACAATCCTTCCCTAGCTTCAAGCCTTCAAACCGCAAGGTAACTTTGATTTACCGAATGATTATATTTGTCAACAACAGTCCATACGTTTGTTAGTATATTTATCAATACTTTTGTGAATATAAGGAAATTGTATATTCGTATTTCTAAATACATTTGGAGTATAGCCTTTATGGGAACTTTCTAGTTTCTACTTTGTATATCTCAATTTTCAAACAATCATTCAACTCAAATCCTTTCATATACTTGTTCAGTTGTTCAAATACATTCTGTTAATTTCCCGTATTTCAACTTATTTGCTTAAACATTTTGTCCACCATAATGTATTATTTTGGGTACTTTGATGCCAACCATGAATTTTGACTACTGTTTTACCATTAAAAGTGTACTTTATGAGAGAAAATTTGCGAAAGATTCAATTCAAAAGTGAGTAAACTTATATAAAAAAAATGGTGAATTAAAAGAAATCATAAGTGAGGTATGATGATAATACATACTCCCTCCGTCCCCAATTAAATGTCCCATTTTACCATATTGGGATGTCCCTATTTAAATGTCCCATACCTCATTTGGTAAAGTTTGTGTGGCTCAAAATCATTCTTACTTTATTCTTACTTTATTCCTACTTTATCAATTAATATCAACCACACAAACCCACTTTTCTTAAAATTCGTGCCACCCTCTTCTGGGACTTTTAAAAGGGGACGGAGGGAGTATACTGTATACATATTTTGGTATTTGGTACCTTAAGTGTAACTAATTGTTGTATTTAGAACTTAGAAGTACCATTTGAAGTTTCCCAGAACTAGTGTAATGTACTAAACAACCAAGCTGGTAAAATCATCATGTATGGGTAGCAGTTCTGATTTACTGCAGTAAAAAAAAACTAGTTCAAATGCTATTGTAGCTTTTTGAGAGGGAGTAATAACTAGTTGAATAAAATTCTATTCAAATGCTGAAAGTATGAAATTAAACTACTTCAAAAATTCTATTGTAGCTTTTTGTGAGTTATTATTAAAATGCTAATAGTTTTGCTAAATTGCTAAGATAGATTTTGTGTGATTATGTAGATGTGGACGACAAGAATTGCTATACCGAGGAAGTTGTTTATGTTACTTGAAGAGTTGAAGATGAAGATGTGAATTCTATATTCACAATGTCAAAGTCTAAATACTTTGTGTTGAAGTGGAGAGCTTTTTTATTGTGGACTGTTTGAACTATTTTTATTTTGCAAATGTTGAATGTCTATGTTGAATTATTTGTGTTGTTGATCATTTAGAACAATTAATGTTGTTATGCTTGTCAGTTGTCACTTGGGAGCCCAGAATGTTGTTATATTTTGCAAAAAGTTTAACAATGCAAAATGCTTGTGTTGTTGAAGTCCAGAATGCTTACTAAAAATTGCAGTTTTTCTAATGTTACCGGTTTTCCGGACCGGGTCCGGTTTTTAACCGTATTGGACCGGTCCGGTTAAAACCGGATATATACTGGGCCGGTTTTCGGTTCTATAATTTTTAGTAAACCGGTTCCGGTTCCGGTCCGGATCCGGTCCGGTTTTGACCTGGTGTACAGCCCTAGCTTGGATAGTATGATCTAATATTCAACTTTTGGTTGTTTATTGGGAAAATTCTTGATGCAATTAGCTTGGTTAATCAGTTCTGGAGACTGGAATTTATACCCAAAAAATGAGATGAAAACTTTACCTTTGAAATCTAGTTACTCAAAGGTAACAATAGGGAAGTTAAATGAGATGAAAACTTTACCTTTGAAATCTAGTTAAATAGATGAAAACTACTAATTTATTCATATAATTGCCCTGGTTTTTTTCACAGGAGGATAAAAGTAGCGCCATAAGCCCCATAAGGTGAGCGGAATAGAATAGGATTTATGTTTGGCAAAGGAAGAAAGGAAATTCACCATATATTTTTTGATACACTCTTGGCTCACAGATTAAACTGGAAAGGAATTTGGTATTAATAAATCTGACAGGTTTATGCTCTCTGTTGCATTACATTATGTTTGAGAACTATCTTTATGTTGTTTGTTACTTTCTCTGCTTTTATGTGCTAAACAATTCAATTTTAAGGCTGGTCTGTTCCTCCCTAATAAAAACGAAATTCTTCACGCATACATAGGCTGAAGGGCCTAATGTCCTTCGATTTGGTATGCTAGACCACCTTAGGAATAAGGACCAAAGTAGTAGCAGTCACACCAATTTGAATTTCTCTGCTAGTAAAAAATTCTAAAACTGCCTCATACAATCCCTTGATAATATCCCAGCATGAGAGTCATGTGAAAATAGAGACTTTAAAAAGTTAACAGCAAATTCCTTACTCATCAGTAGGGTTGTATACGAATCAAATAATTTGTGTTCGATTCGAGATTCGAATTCGTATAAGACGATTCGAATTCAAAAAATTCAAATACAAATACAAATAAGAATACTAAATTTGATTCGAATTGTTATTAAATACAAATACAAATATCAGTATATTCGATTTGAATGTTAATCAAATATATTCGATTAATAATACTGATAATATTAATAGTAATAGTAATAGTAGTAGTAGTAATACTATAATAACTTTTAAAAGCTAGCTATACCTTCAAAATGCAATCTATATATATGCATTTACGTAGTAGTACATTGTGTACAACCAAAAAATGCACCGATCCATTAATTTTTAAACCATAGCAAGTGATGGGATATTAGGTCCAAGACCCAATATCCTCGGTCCACAATAATGAAAAAGCCCAACGGAAACACTCAGCCCAAAAACAGAGCAAGACATCCCGAGCAGCATTCGGGGCATTCCCACTACTTGGGAGCAATCCATGGAAAACTATCAGTCATGTGAGGAATCTAGTCTGAACAGCGTTCGGGCTATCTAATCTAATTAAGATGAACCCACAAGAACCATACTGACCGGGGAAGGACCACGCCTCACATGGGGCTACCTGACCGGCATTCGGGACATTTCGCCCACAAGGGACAAATACACCAGATATTCCGCCATCAGGGACCCCGTACCCCGAACGGTATGCCCGAACGCAACAACAGCAAGTGGCGGCCGCATTTAATGTTAGAGTATGGCGGGAACAAGTGGGAACATGGCGAAGGGGCAGCAACCAACAGGGCTTGGCCACATGTCCTTCCCACCTATCACTCCTTGCTATAAATAGCCGCATTTAATTCATTGTAAAGGGGTTAGCATTTGAATACTCAAAGCTTAGAGATAGATTAATTACTGCTTCTTGTATTTAGTTCCCTACTTCGTTAGGCTGTTCGGGCAGTTCTCTGCACTTAATACAAGCTCGGCTTCTAAGTTCAATTCTTTTCACTCTTTTATATTTTATTCACCACTCAATTAATACCCACGCCCCCATATATCCTAAAGCACGTGTTGGACTTCCGGATCTACGGGACTTAACCTCAACAGCAAGCATTCATAACATAAAAGATATAGAAAAGTTGGTTTAAAGTGATATTTGACTAATGTTTAACTTATGATCAAATCGATTCGATATTCGTATATGATTTGTTAAATATTCGTATTGTTAAACAAATACAAATCGAAAAAATATTCGTTTCATATTCGAATTCGGATTCGTATTCGGAAAAATTAAACAAATACAAATAAAAAATCACATATTCAACTCGATTCGATTCGTTTACAACCCTGCTCATCAGTAATGGCATTTGGTTTTATCCTTAAGCCTATTAGCTATCACCCTGGCATGGAAAATGCAGTTTTCTGCTCCGATCTTTCACCCATTTCAAACCAATATTCTACTTCGAGTACTCTCACTCTATGGAAAGTTGAGCATAAGATTAATGCAGTTCAGCTCGGGCCTTCTTGTTTGCTTGTCTATATAGTCTGGATCCCAGTTTCTATAATATGAACACAAGAAGTGCAGGTTCAACGGATGATTTAAAAAATTCAGCACAACTTTTTTGGCATTTTTGGCATATTGATCAATGATGTCAAGACTTAAGGGCATTATCTTATACTTTTCTTAGAGTGGCTTCGTAACCCTCTGGGTTGGCTTGATGATGTAATTAACTTTGATAATTGTTCCACACTTCCACTAATAAAAAACATGATCAAACACACTCTTCTTCTTGGAAAATGAACAAATTATATGAAATCTTTTATGTTTGATGAACGTTAATTGGAGGGACATGGGCAGTGAGAGAGAGTAGTGCATTACCCAAGCCTATCAATTAAATGCCGACTTGACAACGCAGCATGGAGCCATAAATTTTTAATTTTTTATTGCGTGTAGCATACTCTTTAAAGTTGAACATAAACTGACAGCCTTCATTAAATGAGATGTACTTTTCACATCAGTGTGCTTTCGCATCAACCATGTGTTAGAGTTGAATTTTCAAAGGAAATACGTACTCCGTATTCAAATAAGATTTTCATTTATTGCCTTCAATATTGGTGAGCTGTACTTTTACGTCACTCGAGCTAGCAGACCAGTTAGTATGACCCGACCCACGGCTAATCTGGTGGTTTAGGCGGGAAGTTTGGCTGAAAACCCACCTCTTTTTATATAGAGGTAGATACATAAGCGTATCACACTAATGTTTTGAAGTTCATTGGGGGCATGTGGCCCCATTAAATACAAGCTGAATCCGCCCCTGGTCCAATTGGTATTTACTCATTTCATGCTACTAAGCTTTTACAAACTTATCCGCTTTATTGGCCATTTTTTAATTTGATACTCCAAGATAGGAGTACTATGTTTTTTTCAAAGTAGGATTAATATAAAGGCTGAAACAACTGTCAAATGTAAATTATGAAATTAATGCATGGTAATGACAATATGATTTAGTATGACATTAATAGAAAAAAAAATAGTAATCTATTTCAAGAAATTGCATTGCTTTTGCTTCAAAAGTTCAAATTTATGTAACTACCCATCAACATATTAGTGTAACATATAAATTGCTTTCAGCAAAAAGTACTTTCATAGTTTCATGCACTTCCATGTAAACTGTACGTCTACGGAATTATGATTGTATTCTCCTCATATGTTAAAATATATTGATGATATACTTTATATCACATTGATTGCCTATATGATGGGATAATTTATGATGCTTGCATTTTGTTTTGCATATCTTGGTACTTAGTAGTTAGTATTCAATTTTTCTTGACTTGTAAGAGGGTAAAATAGATCGATAACTACACTAAGGGCCTGTTTGGTAATGGCTACAACGGCTGGAATGACTGAAAAGGTTGAATCTGCTGAAGTGAAAATGTTTGTAAATATATATTGACTTAAATAACTGATTGAATGTAAAATTACTATAAACGGTATTAATTTATGTGTGTGAAATATATGGATGTGATTTTTGCTACTACATTATTTTTGCACAATTAGGTGATTATAAGATTACTTAATCACACAATTTTGGATATTTGCCTTTTATCCTAAAGGGTAATAGGCTGTAATCTACACTAGTACTAGTGCTGGACTCGGGCCGGGCGGCCCGGCCCGGAACCGGCCTGGCCCGGTTACTATTTGGCCCGGCCCGGCCCGGGGCCCGGTGGGTCCACCGGTTCGGTTCGGCCCGGCCCGGCTGCTGGGCGGTTCGGGCCCGGGCCCAGGTTTTGGTGAACCGGCCCGGCCGGTTCGGGCCCGGTCCGGGCCGGATTTTAATTTTTTTTTTTTTGAAATTTTTTTAAGTTTTAGGTTGGATTAGGTATTTTGGGCCATTTGAGGTGGTTTGGGATGGGTTGGGGTTGAGGGGGAGGGGTAGGGGATTAAATAGGAGAACAAAAAAAAAATTAATTGGGCCGGTTCGGCCCGGCCCGGCCCGGTTTGGCCCGGAACCGGGACCGGAACCGGCCACCGGCGGTTCGGGCTCGGGCCTCCCTTTCCTGGCCCGAGGCCCGGCCGGGCCCGAACCGGCCCGAGTCCAGCACTAACTAGTACTCTCCATACTCATCAAATTTACATGCTAACAATAATTATGAAACGAAGAGGATTACATATATTAAAAAAAATCAGCCCAATTCACAACATAAAAAAAACTGCAGTATTATAACGGAGACCAAATGTACTTGCTACTCTTATAATTTTGATTGGTCGCGTCTTCGCAAATAGTGAGTTTCCTAACCCACATGAAGATGTATTCAAGCCTTCCAAGTAATAAGATTCATACGGAGTATAATTTTGGACGAATAAAAGGGTTAAAGAGTCTTTGCAATCACCAACAGTCAAATAACAAAAATATCAGCTCAAAAAGTAATCTTAGGCTTACTTTTTCAGCTTACAAGAAAATTCTGCCAAGAAAAATATCAGTGTTTGACTTCACAGTTGTTAAGAAAATAAAGTTGACTTTACTGTAGAGTACACTGTTGAGACACCGTTTGACACTGTTTGGCACTGTTGAGACACTGTTTGGCACTGTTTAGCACTGTTTAACACTGTTTTGATGTAGAATTCTTTGCCAAATAAGGAAATAAGGAAGTGTGAAGTTTATTTTGGACCATCCCAAAAAGGTAAGTGAGAAGTTTATTTAGAACCGGAGGGAGTATTAATCAAATCATGGTTCAAAGAAAACAAAATACATCAGGAGGAGAATCAACCCAAATTTTGCAACCAGTCATAGAACCCCGAACTTTAGCAAGTGTATGAGCTACGTGGTTCGCTGATCGCTTCACATGATTAAAAGTAATATCATTAAAGGTATCAGATAGCTCTCGAATGTCACCCACGAGAGTTCCAAGAGAAGAAGAATCAAAGCCACCATTGATTAAATTAATCTGTAACACCGTCCCCAAATATATTTACTTTTATGTAAATAATGTATTGAACCTTATTAAAGGATTAATGAATTTACGAGGTTGTAAATTAAAGTTGGGGAATGTATATTCATTATACATGTCATAATGAGTAAGAGCACATAATATATTTTATTTGACCTGATAAAATAAAATATATTTAAAACAGTCCGAAAAATACAACTTTCGGGACCGATTGTACACTTCGGGACAAAAAGGGTTGACCTCCCACATGAGTGGGGGCCAACCCACGAATTTGGACACTCAAGTGGGGTGTTGGCCGGCTGGTGGGATAGGAAATAGGGGGAGGGGATTGTGATATGAGGGAAATGGCATCAAAGGTACCTAAAGTGGACCCTCATTCTACACTCATTGGATTAATGAGACAAAAGCTCATCTCCACCCCTCTCTCCCCTCATTGTCTCGGCCAAGCTACAGCAACCAAGGGAAAGGAACTCTCCTTCTTCCTTCCACCATTGTTGAAGAGAGCTCACCAAGGAAGAACCACCCAAAAAGAAGCTAAAGTGCTAAAAGTGTGAAATAGTTAAGGTAATGACCCTATTATAACTTCCTCTCTATTTTTCTTCTACCATATGAGATATATATCATGTGAAGAACCCTTAAGAGGGTTATACATGCTATAAGTATGGATTAATGGGTTGGAAAGTGATTCTATGTCCAAGAACGGACTTAGAAGCCAAAACGACCGGTTCACCGGAAAATAACCTTTTATAGGTTATTTGTATTGATTAAGGTTTTATGATGTTAAAACCTTGTTAGGCACTTGTAAAGGGTATCTCAAGTGATTTCACAAAGTTGGAAAAGTCGCCGGAGTTTTCGCCGGAGTTGACCAAAAGTCGCCGGAGTTTCACCGGAGTTCAACCAAGAAGGGTAGAACTTCATACGCTAGTTCAAGGTGAGTGGACGGCTTAATATCTTATAACTTTTGGGTTAATTATGAGATTACCTAAATAAATGTTATATGAGTTCATAATGATGTTTAAAAGATATTTAAACATGTGATTAGCCAATAGGGTTAAGTTTGTATGAAAGAAATTAATTGTTGATGCATGGAATATGATATGAAGAATTATATGAAATGCATATTTGCTTGAAGTGCATTAGAAGCACAAATGAATATTATTAACTTAATTATATGATGATTAAGTTGATACACACAAGGCATGAAATGGCGGTCAACGAAAACGTGGACCGAAGAACAAAGGATTTAATTAATACCGGTTGGTATTAATTAAATATAAATCTATATAAATGCATGGTTTTGCATGGATTGTGATACATAAGAATTTATGTATTGGATTAGTTATGAGTAACTAAGTATGATATAGACTCTATCTAGGTTGATAGGAGGTTGATAATAGGAAAACTTGGTGGAGGACCCTAGTACTTAAAAAGTACTTAACACTCAAACTTGGTGGAGGACCCTAGTACTTAAAAAGTACTTAACACTCAAACTTGGTGGAGGACCCTAGTACTTAAAAAGTACTTAACACTCAAAACTTGGTGGAGGACCCTAGTACTTAAAAAGTACTTAACACTCAAAACTTGGTGGAGGACCCTAGTACTTAAAAAGTACTTAACACTCAAAACTTGGTGGAGGACCCTAGTACTTAAAAAGTACTTAACACTCAAAACTTGGTGGAGGACCCTAGTACTTAAAAAGTACTTAACACTCAAACTTGGTGGAGGACCCTAGTACTTAAAAGTACTTAACACTCAAAACTTGGTGGAGGACCCTAGGACTTATGAGGCCTTAACACTCACAAGCCGGTGGAGTATCCAAGGATTATGATCCTAAAACTCATAGATTATGATATACAAATAGGGACAAGGAGGAGTCCTATACACTCATAGGTATATGGGTGGGTTGGGGTTTTTAGTCAAGAATATTGACTATTACTATTTTTCCCAAATAAAATGGTGATCTACGGATCGGATATTTTCCAAGTATATATGTATATACTAATAAGTATTTCATAACTTGGGGGAAAGACTATTTATTTAAGTATCACCCTATGTTTGGGTCTTATACTTGAAACGCTAGTTATTCTATATTTAGCCTGCTACTCGCTCGGTATTTGTACTGACCCCTTCGGGGGGCCCCACCATTTTCATGTTGAAGCTAGGGCTTGCTACTTGCACCTTCTCACGGGTGATATCATATCGGGAAGATGTGGTTCGTGCTTCCTTATTTTCTTTCAAACTACCAAACACTTGCTCATGGATATTTGTTTTACTATAAACTATTTTTGGGGCTTGCATGCCCATGTTGTTGGCCGGTTGCATGGTTTTAAAAGGCGTTTAGCCTTTACGCACTTGAGGCGCAAAGGCGCAAAGGCGGTCGGTAATAGCCTGGAAGGCTTAAGCTTCACCTTCTGCTAACAAGGCTTACGCCTTAAATTTGCTGAGGCGTTGATGCGGACTGTGGGCGCAAGGCGTACACGAGGCGTTCGCCTCTAATTTTACGCAAGGTTGGGCTTTTTTTTAAAAAGTATATCGGGGGCCTCAAATTTTCTCTCCTAAAATATAAAATACCTTGATATTTTAATGCTTACCCACAGCCTTAGGTCTTCCAAATTCCAATCGATGGTCTTTCACTCTTCTACGAGACTAGATATTAAAAAACTAGAAACAACGACTTGAAGAAGAGCTGCTGAAGCTCGGTACAGAGACTTCAGGAGTTGCTTCGCCGGTTCGTCCAAGCAATAATAAAATATCCCACCGCCCAACTTCTATAATTTCTTATAGTGTTTATTATTTAACTTTTTTATTTAACTTTTTAGTTATTTAAAGGTTTTATTTTGAGCTATTTAAAGTTATTAAATAGTATTAAATTTCGTCCAACCTTTCTGATCTTTATGCGTTTGTCATTTAACGTTACTAATGTAATTATTAAGCCTTTTGTTTAATCTGTAAAGTTATCATATAAAACTATCATTTAACTTAATAATTTATTTATTTGTTTAATACTGCGCACTTTACTAGTTTACTTGACTTAAGATTTACATTTTAATTTGAAATATTATAGTTAAGTTCATTACAGTTTGGTTTTATTTTTATTTATTTATTAAATTTGATTATCAATCATTAATTTTTTTTTGTCTTGGAAGTTTAGTGTTTTTTATATTTCATTTTTATGCTATTTTGACTTGAATATTTTATTGTTATGTTCTTTTTACTCGTAATTTTGTTTAGTTGCATTATTCTTATGGATTATCTATACTATCTGATATGTTGTACGCTTTTAGACAATTAAATTTGAGGCTTACGCCTCGTTACGCCTCGAGGCTTACGCCTCGTGAGGCTATTGCCGAACGCCTCGGGGCTCGATTTCGCCTTTCAAAACCTTGGCCGGTTGTGGCTCATGACTTACCGTTGAATATTTCCGCTATTCATTGGTTTAAATGTGATGTTGTTATGTATGTTTACTACTGAGTATGGATGGATTGTTTTCTCGAACGCCTTGTGTAACTAAGTGAGGTTGACTCGTGGGTGACATCACTTAGTTATACGGCGGTTGTACACGCGCTTGGATTGCGGTTTGGGGCGTGACAATTAAGTGGTATCAGAGCCATCTCAGTTCTAAACTATATAATCAACCTCTCACATAAGATTTTAAAAAAGAGTTTTTACCGAAAACCATGAGCATTGTATTTTGACGTTTATAGGACTATTGGTGCTTAAGTTGCAAGGCCTTTAATTGTTAAGACGGTACCCTTAACAATTGGTATGGTGGTGACTTGGGTCAATACGTGTCTATAACGTTTTTCCGTCAATTGACATTCATAGGAGTCTAAAGACTCGTCCAAATTCCGTTTCAGAAATGGAGGGTAAGCGAAAGGCAACAAGGAATGACCCTAAGGGACAAGCGTCGGTAGCTTACCTTGAGGCTAGCCGGGCTGTGTCACGAGCCATTACGGGGAGAGGAATAGGCCATGGGGTCCGTGAGGGCCGCCAAGCGGCAAGCGCTAATCAAGTGGGCTCGATGTGTAACATGAACACCAGGAGGAACGAACGTAGGCGTCAGGCGAGGCGAGATCGGGCCACCTCCCAACGTGATATGACTGTCAGCCAAACCCATCCTTGGGCAAACGACCAAGGAGGAGAAAGCACTCTTACGGCACCGGCATCACCGGTGAAAAAGAAAAGGACCTCAAGGTGGCATACGTTCTTTCCGTACTCTTTCAGACCATCCAAATGTTCGAATTGCTCTAAGAAACATTTCGGAAAGTGCAACGAGCCCCCGATGTGCTACGAATGTGGGAGCACAACCCACATGAAATTAAGTTGCCCATGGAGGAGGCAACGAGAGACATCGCAAGCCAAGGAAGGGCTCACCGTGGAAGGAAACCATACGGAACCAACGGCGAGCAACGCTACGTCCGTCAATCAAGGCGGGGCCCAAGCACGAGACTACGCGATGACCGAGGCGGATGCGAGAGCAAACCCGGACTCCGTTGCAGGTAATACACGTATTCCCATGTATTTCTAGGCCTATTTTGATCATATACACCGTTGGGGGTTGAGTTCGGGCCACCCCGGGACCAAACGGAGCGAAATTGGGCGAAATCGGGCTGATTTCTGCCAACGCACTACAGGCTGGGCTGCACGCACGGCCGTGCGTTGCCCGTGCGTACCTCCGTGCGTTGGTGGCAGTAGCATCCCGGAGGAAATCGCTGCACGCACGACCGTGCGTTGCCCGTGTGTACCTCCGTGCGTTGGTGGCAGTAGCATCCCGGGGGAAATCGCTGCACGCACGACCGTGCGTTGCCCGTGCGTACCTCCGTGCGTTGGTGGCAGTAGCATCCCGGGGGAAATCGCTGCACGCACGACCGTGCGTTGCCCGTGCATCCCTCCGTGCGTTGGGGGCAGTAGCTCCATTGGTAAGGCAAGGTACGCACGACCGTGCGTACCCCCTACGCACGCCGTGCGTGGACCCCTGGCACCCGAAACTTGATTTTTCCGCCCCGTTCTTCTACGTTTGGACCCCCGTTTGATTCCAAACATTAGTATGAACCTAATAACATCCTAATGATGTGTAAAAACATTAGAAAATGTATCTTACATGGTGTATAAAGGTAGGAACATTAAAGATCAATGGTAGGTGTGCGAGGATCCTCATCGATACCGGGGCACAACGCTCATTCGTGAGTGAGGCGTTCGCCGAGGGCCTTGACATGCCATTGACACCTATGACGCAAGCGTTGCTAGTCTCCACACCGTTAGGAGACGACGTGGAGAGAGATCATTACTATCCCTCGTGTGAGGTAGAAGTGACGGGTCTACCTTTGACTTGTGATTTCGTACCTCTGAGCATGTTGGAGTTCGATGCAATCCTAGGAATGGATTGGCTCGAGAAACACCATGCTCGAGTGGATTGCTACACCAAGGTGTTGGAGCTCGAGGATGATCAAGGGAATATGCTACGTTTTGAAGGAGATCGGGGGAAATCTAATGCTTGTATCATATCCGTGATGAGAGCACGAAAGATGATGAGGAAAGGATGCCACGCATACCTTGCTTATGTGGTAGATGATACGAAGAAAGAGGTCGACATCAAGGATGTTCGAGTCGTGTGCAAGTACCCGGACGTCTTTCCCAAGGACCTACCGGGGCTTCCACCCGATAGAGAGATTGAATTTGTAATCGAAGTGGAGCCGGGAACCAAACCCATTTCGATTCCTCCTTATCGAATGGCACCGGCCGAACTTCAAGAGTTGAAGGTCCAACTACAAGAACTATTAGACAACGGGTTCATCAGACCCAGCCATTCACCGTGGGGAGCACCCGTACTATTCGTAAAGAAGAAAGATGGTACACTAAGAATGTGTATCAACTACCAACAGTTGAACAAGGTCAACATCAAGAACAGGTATCCCTTACCGAGGATTGATGACTTGTTCGATCAACTTCGAGGGGCAACAGTGTTCTCAAAGTTTGACTTGAGGTCGGGGTATCACCAGTTGAAGATCAAGGAGAGTGACATACCTAAGAGTGCATTTCGCACTAGATATGGTCATTACGAATTCCTTGTGATGTCGTTTGGTTTAACCAACGCACCGGCGGCATTCATGGACTTGATGAACCGTGTGTTTAGTGAATACTTAGATCAATTTGTGATAGTATTCATTGACGACATCTTGATATACTCCAAGAGCGAGGAAGAGCACGAACACCATTTGAGACTTGTACTTGATCGGCTAAGGGAAAGGCAACTCTTCGCCAAGTTCTCCAAGTGCGAATTTTGGCTCAAAGAGATTGATTTCCTCGGTCATGTCATATCCGGTTCAGGTGTTGCTGTGGATAACGCCAAGATAAAAGCGATCATGGATTGGGAGAGACCCAGGAATGCGAAGGAGATACGTAGTTTCCTTGGCCTAGCGGGATACTATCGTAAATTTGTGGAAAAATTCTCCGTATTGGTGTCTCCATTAACGAAGCTCACAAAGAAAGGGGCCAAGTTCATATGGGACGACAAGTGCGAGAAGGGGTTCCTTGAATTGAAGAAACGACTTACCGAAGCACCTGTCCTTGCCCTACCCATACAAGGGATAGGGTATGACATCTACAGCGATGCTAGCATCCAAGGGCTTGGATGTGTACTAATGCAAAACGGTAAGGTGATTGCCTATGCTTCTAGGCAATTGAGGAAACACGAGGTGAACTACCCTACTCACGATCTAGAGTTGGGGGCGGTAGTGTTTGCATTGAAGATTTGGGGGCATTATCTCTACGGGGAGACGTGTCACATTTATACTGATCATAAGAGCTTGAAGTATGTATTCACTCAGAAAGAGTTGAATATGAGGCAGAGGAGATGGATGGAGTTGATCAAGGACTATCATCCCGGAAAGGCCAATGTAGTGGCCGATGCACTGAGCAGGAAGAGTACGTCGGGGACGCTACTCACATGTCTACAGGCATTGAGGGCACACGTGGAGGTATCCACGAACGGGGCGCTCATTGCTAGGTTCGAGGTCAGACCTACATTGCTGGGTAAGATCAGTAGATGTCAGGCCATTGACGAGGAGTGTCAGAAGATTCGTGAACGAATCATTGAGGGGCCTGTTGAGAACTTTCGAGTACGTGATGACGGTCTATTATTGTTTAAGGATCGTGTGTGCATACCAAAGAATGAAGACCTCCAGAAGTCTATACTTGAGGAGGCTCATTCTTCAGCTTATGCTATGCATCCAGGAGGTACAAAAATGAACCGAGATTTGAAGGAAAGTTACTGGTGGTCAGGTATGAAGAGAGACATCGCAGAGTATGTGAGTCGATGCCTTACTTGCCAACAAGTTAAGGCAGAGCATCAGCACCCGGCAGGGCTTTTGCAACCACTTACCATCCCAAAGTGGAAGTGGGAACACGTGACGATGGACTTCGTGGTGGGGCTACCACGAACAGTGAACAACTACGATGCAGTATGGGTAGTGGTTGATAGGCTCACCAAGAGTGCACACTTTCTGCCTATCAACATTACTTATCCTCTTGAAAGATTGGCCAAGCTATACACGGAGGAGATTGTGAGATTACATGGAGTCCCAATATCCATTGTCTCGGATAGGGATCCACGATTCACATCCCGATTTTGGCCAAAGTTTCAAGCGTCTCTGGGGACTAAACTGAAGTTTAGCACAGCTTTTCACCCACAGACCGATGGACAGTCCGAACGGGTGATACAGATCTTGGAAGACATGCTTAGGGCATGTGCATTGGAGTTCCAGGGAAGTTGAGACAAGCATTGGGCCCTAGTGGAGTTTGCCTATAACAACCGTTATCAGGCAAGTATCGGCATGCCCCCATATGAGGCATTGTATGGGAGGAAATGCAGAACACCGTTGTGTTGGGACGAGGTTGGCGAGGCCAAACTCGAAGGGATAGAGCTGGTTGAGATCACCAAGGCCAAGGTGAGGATCATTCGGGACAGACTGAAGACCGCTCAGGACCGACAGAAAAGTTATGCTGATAAACGGCGGAGACCGTTAGAGTTCGAAGTCGGTGATGAGGTCTTCCTAAGGATTTCTCCTTGGAAGGGCATCATTCGATTTGTATCAAGGGGAAAGCTTAATCCCCGATACATCGGTCCATTTGAAATCCTTGAAAGAATAGGGGCCGTGGCTTACCGTCTCAAGTTGACGCCTGAACTTGAGAAGATACATGACGTGTTTCATGTATCAATGCTCAAGAAGTACATACGAGACCCATCTCATATTCTTGAGAGACCACCGGTAGAGATCCGTGAGGACTTGCAATATGCAGTGGAACCAGTGAAGATTGTTGGTCAACAAGTGAAGAAGCTTAGGAATAAGGAGATTCCTATGGTAAAGGTTTTTTGGAGGAGTGATCGAGTCGAAGAAGAAACTTGGGAGACCGAGATCTCAATGAGGGAGCAATACCCATTTCTTTTCGATTAGATACTTGGATTTCGGGGACGAAATCCCAAATAAGGGGGGGTGAACTTGTAACACCGTCCCCAAATATATTTACTTTTATGTAAATAATGTATTGAACCTTATTAAAGGATTAATGAATTTACGAGGTTGTAAATTAAAGTTGGGAATGTATATTCATTATACATGTCATAATGAGTAAGAGCACATAATATATTTTATTTGACCTGATAAAATAAAATATATTTAAAACAGTCCGAAAAATACAACTTTCGGGACCGATTGTACACTTCGGGACAAAAAGGGTTGACCTCCCACATGAGTGGGGGCCAACCCACGAATTTGGACACTCAAGTGGGGTGTTGGCCGGCTGGTGGGATAGGAAATAGGGGGAGGGGATTGTGATATGAGGGAAATGGCATCAAAGGTACCTAAAGTGGACCCTCATTCTACACTCATTGGATTAATGAGACAAAAGCTCATCTCCACCCCTCTCTCCCCTCATTGTCTCGGCCAAGCTACAGCAACCAAGGGAAAGGAACTCTCCTTCTTCCTTCCACCATTGTTGAAGAGAGCTCACCAAGGAAGAACCACCCAAAAAGAAGCTAAAGTGCTAAAAGTGTGAAATAGTTAAGGTAATGACCCTATTATAACTTCCTCTCTATTTTTCTTCTACCATATGAGATATATATCATGTGAAGAACCCTTAAGAGGGTTATACATGCTATAAGTATGGATTAATGGGTTGGAAAGTGATTCTATGTCCAAGAACGGACTTAGAAGACAAAACGACCGGTTCACCGGAAAATAACCTTTTATAGGTTATTTGTATTGATTAAGGTTTTATGATGTTAAAACCTTGTTAGGCACTTGTAAAGGGTATCTCAAGTGATTTCACAAAGTTGGAAAAGTCGCCGGAGTTTTCGCCGGAGTTGACCAAAAGTCGCCGGAGTTTCACCGGAGTTCAACCAAGAAGGGTAGAACTTCATACGCTAGTTCAAGGTGAGTGGACGGCTTAATATCTTATAACTTTTGGGTTAATTATGAGATTACCTAAATAAATGTTATATGAGTTCATAATGATGTTTAAAAGATATTTAAACATGTGATTAGCCAATAGGGTTAAGTTTGTATGAAAGAAATTAATTGTTGATGCATGGAATATGATATGAAGAATTATATGAAATGCATATTTGCTTGAAGTGCATTAGAAGCACAAATGAATATTATTAACTTAATTATATGATGATTAAGTTGATACACACAAGGCATGAAATGGCGGTCAACGAAAACGTGGACCGAAGAACAAAGGATTTAATTAATACCGGTTGGTATTAATTAAATATAAATCTATATAAATGCATGGTTTTGCATGGATTGTGATACATAAGAATTTATGTATTGGATTAGTTATGAGTAACTAAGTATGATATAGACTCTATCTAGGTTGATAGGAGGTTGATAATAGGAAAACTTGGTGGAGGACCCTAGTACTTAAAAAGTACTTAACACTCAAACTTGGTGGAGGACCCTAGTACTTAAAAAGTACTTAACACTCAAACTTGGTGGAGGACCCTAGTACTTAAAAAGTACTTAACACTCAAAACTTGGTGGAGGACCCTAGTACTTAAAAAGTACTTAACACTCAAAACTTGGTGGAGGACCCTAGTACTTAAAAAGTACTTAACACTCAAAACTTGGTGGAGGATCCTAGTACTTAAAAAGTACTTAACACTCAAAACTTGGTGGAGGACCCTAGTACTTAAAAAGTACTTAACACTCAAACTTGGTGGAGGACCCTAGTACTTAAAAGTACTTAACACTCAAAACTTGGTGGAGGACCCTAGGACTTATGAGGCCTTAACACTCACAAACCGGTGGAGTATCCAAGGATTATGATCCTAAAACTCATAGATTATGATATACAAATAGGGACAAGGAGGAGTCCTATACACTCATAGGTATATGGGTGGGTTGGGGTTTTTAGTCAAGAATATTGACTATTACTATTTTTCCCAAATAAAATGGTGATCTACGGATCGGATATTTTCCAAGTATATATGTATATACTAATAAGTATTTCATAACTTGGGGGAAAGACTATTTATTTAAGTATCACCCTATGTTTGGGTCTTATACTTGAAACGCTAGTTATTCTATATTTAGCCTGCTACTCGCTCGGTATTTGTACTGACCCCTTCGGGGGGGCCAACCATTTTCAGGTTGAAGCTAGGGCTTGCTACTTGCACCTTCTCACGGGTGATATCATATCGGGAAGACGTGGTTCGTGCTTCCTTATTTTCTTTCAAACTACCAAACACTTGCTCATGGATATTTGTTTTACTATAAACTATTTTTGGGGCTTGCATGCCCATGTTGTTGGCCGGTTGTGGCTCATGACTTACCGTTGAATATTTCCGCTATTCATTGGTTTAAATGTGATGTTGTTATGTATGTTTACTACTGAGTATGGATGGATTGTTTTCTCGAACGCCTTGTGTAACTAAGTGAGGTTGACTCGTGGGTGACATCACTTAGTTATACGGCGGTTGTACACGCGCTTGGATTGCGGTCTGGGGCGTGACATAATCACTTATAGTGCATCCGACTCCAGATCCAAATGATCTCATCCCGCTATCTTCAATCAACTAAGGGCTTCCCGAACTAATGCTATTTGTTCTTATTTTGGAGAGTACTCTCCTAGCATGTGAGTTGCGCCACCAGCTAGGAAAATCCCTTCGCATGATCTTTACTACCAAGCTCAGACTGGTACTGCCCCCCGCCTTTAAAGACTGCTGCATCCGTGTTGATCTTCACTCTACCCTCCCCCGGCCTCACCCAAACTGTAGAGGCCTGCAGTTGCCCATCTGATTTGCTCGCCAAACTGGTAGCAGCCCACCACCCCTGCTAAAAGTTACAGCCTCTGCAACAATGCTCTTGGCCGGTGTAGGTACCTTCTACCACAGTACTTCATTTCTGGCCCTCCATATTCCCCAGCACACCATGATGAACTTGCTGCATCACTCATCTCTGAAGCTATGAAAAATGTTTTCAATCCACTCCATAAAACATGTCTCATTACCAATATGAAAATCCCAACCAACAGACTCACACTTGCTGCGCTATCAGACATAATCCAAACACATGAAGAAGATTCTCCCTTTCCAGGAGACAAGAAGAACATAACTGGGAGCACTTAACCCGTTTTAATGCTAGCAAATCCCTTGTCGGAAGACACCCTGTACATACTTGCCAAAAGAAAGTTTTAACTTTCGGGGGAATGTGTAGGTTCCACATGCATGCGGGTCCAGCCATAACTAACATCCGACACCACATGTTGCATCAGGAATTTGTAGCTACTCTTCACTGAATAACGACCGCCCTGTGCCCAGCGCCACACTACTTTGTCCACCACTTGCCTTTGAATAACCGGTACTGCTAGAATGAGCTCATGGTGCCTGCTGTCAAACACATCAACTAATAGATCTTTGTCCCACTCCCGCTGACCTCCGACCTACATTAACTCAGCCACTCTACAATGCTCCAAACCATTAAGATTAGATAGGTGGGGAGAAAAAAGCAAAATGGAATAAAGCAAAATAGTTCACTAAACTGTCTGCGCTTCTTTGTTATGAAGTAGCAGTCAGTCTATGCAACGATTGACATAATTTTCATCATGGGTCATCCGGAAACAGCCTCTTTGTGCTTTAATACAAGGGTATGGCTGCGTACATTCGACCCCCCTTACCCCACCGTGGGTGGGAGAGCCTTTGTGGCACTGGGGTAATGATGATGATGATGAGGTGGGGATAAAAACTTTCAAATTTCAAGCCTAATCTGAAATATATATATAATTGACGATGCCACGATGGTGATTTAACATGAAAGAAAATAAAACGGGTCAATGGAGTTCACATATTCAGTAATGTTACACTAAGCTTGTCTATTTTGCATAGCAAACTAGTGAAGAATTATTTCGTGAAAGTGTTGCAATGTGTAGTTTAGAAAATCAAATCATAACCGGGAAAATCATTCCTTAGCTCACAAGGCTAGTGCTTTACGAAGCATAGATGAGAATTATGATATCGGAGAGTGTGAGTACACTAAATGACTAAATTGATAGCACTAAAAAAAAGAGGAAAAATTACAGTGCAAAGGCCAAAAGGCTCTCCAAGAAGAGTGGCTAGGAGTGGAAGGCTACTCTAGGCATAACTGGCATACTATGATGCCTCAGACAGCTTTGATCATTCAGATGATTCTTTTTTTTTCGGACGATTTTTTAGGGCATGCAACTGAAAGCGATCGTCGCCCCCGTTATCAAACGAGGAAGAAATTAAGAATTCAAAATGCAACAAATCCATTTGCCGAAAATCAAAGTTGGTAACACAGAAAACTGTCTGCCAACAGAAAACCTGAACACTCAAAAATCTCAGAAAAAAAAGACGGCACAACATGAGGACCAGATCACAGTCTCTAGAGATTTCCCTTGGGTCTAATTTTTGTCTTTATATTTTTCCTTTCTTTTCTGTATTTTTTTCTTTTTTATTTTATTTTTCTTCTTGCACTGTAATTTTTCCTCTTTTTTTGAATAAAATCGTGTGTGAAACGTTTTAAAAAAAGTGGAAGAGATTGAAGTTAGGAGAGGCGGTAAATTGCCATATCTTGCACCCCGTGGGAGATGGAAAAAAGGGAGGTCTATGACCGAGCTTCAATTCAATATTCGACGAAATTTTTAATTAAAATCATGGATTCCATCAAAAGGAATGAAAGTAATAGCTTACACGATGTAGAGTAGATGAACGAACCCGGGCAGAAGGAACTCGGGTGTTGCGCTTCCCTCCTCAGTGTCTAATCTAGACAAACTGTTGTAATGGTTTCGATCTGCTAGACATGAAGGAAGAAGCTGATGTGAGTGACACTATAAACGGGAGGATGTCAGACGTTTTGTTGATAAAAGAAACGAAGGAAAGACTGTACACTTATGTATTTGGTAGGTGCTCCCTCCGTCCCTGAATTTAGTTCCAACTTTCCCTTTTCGTCCGTCCCAAAAAGAAGTTCACTTTCCCTTATTGGTAAAGAATTTGTGGTTCACAACATTTCTCTCTCCTCTGCACAACTCTCCACCACACAATTTCCACTTTCTTAATCACCGTGGCACTTTAGTTTGGAACAACAATTAGGGACGGAGGGAGTACATGATTACAAAGTTGTAATGTTACACTAACAAATTTTCCATACCCTAAAATAACTTTACTCTCATTCATGTTTATGATTTTGTAAAGAAATAAAACAAAGATAACATCATCATCTTCAATCATTTACAAATACTGGGAACTAAAATGAGGAGGCTCAATTTACTTATTTAGGTCTCCTAACGGGGGATATGATCATATACAACTTAATCTTTCTTCTAGATAATCTTACTAGGAGGCCGTTTGGTAACCTCATTTTTCGGCTTATCAGGCTTATCAGCCAACTTTTTCACCAAACACGTAACTTTCACTTTCGCGCGCTGGGTTGTGTAATGAGCAGAAAAGGTAAGGTTGGAGTTACTTTTCTGGCTGTATTGGCTGAAGTTACTTTAGATGACCATTTTAACTATTTTTACATATAAGTTTTTCTTTATTTTATTAATAAAATATATTTCAAAAATAATTTTTACTTAAATCAGCAGAAACAGCCAAAACAGCCACTTCAGCCAGAACATCATAAATTTCAGCAGAATCAGCCAAAGCAGCTGATTTTCGTGCTACCAAACGGGCTCTAAGACGTAATAGAAAATGTATTGAACTACTTTTCTTCTATTGGACATCTAGGATGACGAATATTTGCTAAATGGGCTAACAAGATCATGAAAAAATGGGAGTCTGTAATGTCTTTGAAGAAGCACTTACGGTTGGATGCTAAACTATTTTGCCACTACTCCTAAAAACTCAGAATAAAGAGAAACATTTATTTGTTTCCACTAACAACCAAATACCAAATAAATATTTTCCAAAAACTTTACTCATATAATCTTTTAAGTTGTAAATATATCGCAATAAGTTTTCCTCATATGAGGTAAACAGAATGAAAAACTCATAATATGCTTGTGAGCACTACAAGTTTCGAGTGCAAATGAGTGCACATTATGGCCAATGGCTACAACAGGATAATTATATTATGGACTTCTAGTATTTTGCAGGAGAAGATCTGGGGCCTTTTGAAATCGAGTTTTTGGATTATTCTTTTGCATTTGCCAAGATAGGAGATGGCAGGCATAAGGCATTTTGATTGGGTTTTTATCGATTAGAGCCGGCAGGCCATTATATCTTAATTTTTCCCTTTGCAACTAGTATGTTCACTAACTGTTCACTTCCATCATTTGCAATGGAGCCAAAGACTCGTTATTTTTTTCTCTTAAGAATATGAAGGAATAAAGCAAAATGGCTCACTAAACTATATGTGCCTCTTTGTTATGAAGCAGCAGTCAGTCCATACAATTTTCGATGCGGTTTTCACCATGGCTCATCCGGAAATAGTCTCTCTGCGCTTTAGTACAGGGGTAAGATTGCGTATATCCGACTCCCCTTACCCCACCATAGGTGAGAACCTTTGCGGCACTGGTGTCCAAAATGAGATTCACAAATAATCATAGTGTCAAATTTGACCATAACCCCAAATGGAAATTCATACATTAGGTGAATCCTGCATTTTTGTGTCCAAACAAAAACCCAAGTTTTGTCCAATAATAGTCAACACAACAATTATAAGTAGCTAAAACCTAAATAGTTTGTCCATATAAGTAGCGACACAAGATATCATTTTCACCACATTAAGAGTCGATTGGTAACACTGGAATTAGCTGATTCGACAGATTCTGCTGAAATGCCTAAAGTTCTGCCTGAAGTGCCTTATTTCTGCTTAGTAATGGAAAAAAATACATAAAAGATACTTTATTAATAAATTAAAGAATATAATATATGAAAAATAGATAAAAAAAAATGGTTTTCTACTACAATTTCAGCCAAACCAGTCAGTTAACAGTGCATCTAGATGAAATGTAGCCTGAATATATTCAATGGAAAGTTTATATATGCATAATACATATTTTGCATATTACACAATATAAGAAATCGAAAGATATCAATGCCTTGGAGATGACCCTACTGAATCATCACGTAATTCAAACTCACTTTCAATTTATTATTTGTAATGTAATTCCATGATTAAATTATCATATTTTTTGAACTAAATTTACATTAATTTTTCTTACAAAAATTAGGATACATGCTACTGTATTGTTAAAAAAACTCTAATTTCACAAGTCAGACAACTTTTACAAGCAAGAAGGATGTGCTTAGGTTATCAACAATTTGTTGGTTGCTATGAATAGATCAATGTCGCAAAAGCACACTACACAACAATATCGTCTTAGTTTTTTTGGAAATAACCACAAGGCGGAACCTAAAACTAAATAGTGTGCCTACAATTTTTTTAAATTTTAATTTTTTTCGTACAGTCTAACTTTTTCTTTTCTTATAAACTTATATTATGTAATCAAATTTACAACATACAAACTCTACTATCTTTTTTATTTGAAAAAATAACACATCACATACCATCATAATAGAACATAATATTAAAGAATTATTAATATGTTACTATATTCTAGATATAGCCCGTGCATCGCACGGGTATTGAGTCTAGTTATATAAATAAGTTTACCTTGAAAGCACGAGATACCCAGACATTTAATTTTAACCTACTATTGGAGGTCATTTTCTACAAAAATAAGACAATTGATAAATTTTATACAAATTCATTTAAATCTAAAATACAAAGAAATAGAGATAGAAACAATAGTAAATGTATCAAAATAGATAAATAGTTTATAACATTAAAAATAATAAATAAAAAATATAAAAATATAAAAATAAAATGAAAATATATAAAATTGTAAACAACAATGTTTTTCATGTTATTCATATAAATACAAATAAACAATGTTTATTGATATTAAATCCATATAGTTAAAAGTAAAAGCTTTTACTGGTCGCTACTTTGAATTGAAAATATTTTGGAATTACAAAAGAATAATAAAAATGAAACAAACACACACGGAGTAGCTATTACACAATTTAGAGCACAAAATTAAAATTCCGTACTTCATAAAAAAAAACAATGTTTTTGTCACATTTAGTCCTCAAACTATTATGTCACCGACATTTTTTTGTATTCGACCATGATTCATGATTGTTTCCGAACTTAGTCTTTCGATTATTGTACGAATGACACTTTTGATATCCGTCTTTGAAAAGTTTCATATTTAGCCATTCAACTTTTATAAAAGTAACACTTTTGGTCCTTCAATTATTTTAATAGTGATATTTTTAGTCATCCACTTATTTGGATAAAATCATAGTTGAAGGACTAAAAGTGTCAATTTGATGATAGTTATGAGACGATTAATGTGGGGAACTTTGAAGTCACGGAGTAAAAGTGACGTCCCTCGCATAATAGTCAAAGAACCAAAATAGAAAAATTGAAAGTGGAACACCATAAGTATCACTAACTCAATAGTGAGGGGTGAGGGCATGCACTGAAAGCAAATATATGACTCAAAATAGTAGGGGTGGGCAAAAATACAAAACCTGCATGGTACCAAACCGGACCGGTATGGTACCGAACCGATGAACGGGGTTTGAAACGGATCTCAAATTTGTTTTTGTCCCGAATCGGACCGTACCGATTCCAAACAATGCCATGAGAAGGGTATAGCGGTGCTGATGGGGGCATAGTTGACCGCTGGCCTGCCTGGGGCCTTCTGGAAGTGTTGGCAGGCGGTACACCTTCGGGCTAGGTCAGCGCAATCCCTAGCCATCGTGGGCCAGAAGTAACCTTGGACTATAAGCCTTCGGGACATGGAGAAGGGTCCCTGGTGGGCTGAGCAAGTGCCACTGTGTACTTCCTCCATTGCGACCCGGCTTCATCTTGGTGGAGGCACCGAAGGAGGGTGCCATTGTAGGACCTTTTGTAGAGCCTTCCATTCTCGAGGGTGTAGCTGGGAGCCCTCAGCTTCGCTAACTTGGCGCGGGCTTCATCCTCGGGGAGTTGCCCTGTGGTGATGAAGTTGGTGATGTCGGAGATCCAATCCTCCGGCCTTAGGTGAATATCCATGACGGGGCTTGCATGGATGCTTGAGAGGCTGAGTTCCTCAATTCTGGCAATTTTTGAGAGGTGTTCGGGGGATTCATCCGAGAGCTTGGATAGGATATCGGCTTCGGAGTTTTGAGCCCTCGGTATTTGAGTGAGAGAATGTGCTTCAAACACCTTAAGCAATTCCTTGGCCGCCTCTCTGTACTGTTTCATTCTTCCTTCTTTGGCCTCATATTCCCCGGAAATTTGACCCACGACAAGCTTGGAGTCGCATTTGACGTGGATCATTCTAGCCTTCAGGTTTGCTGCCAGTCGAAGGCCACAGAGGAGGGCTTCGTATTCGGCTTCGTTGTTGGAAACTTTGAAGGAGAAGCGAATGGCATAGTAGGCGCGAAAGCCTTCAGGTGTGATGAGAACCACCCCTCCCCCGCATGCCTTGGTGGCGGAGGAGCCGTCGGTGTAGAGGGTCCACCATTCATCGAGAGGGGCCGAGGGCTCCTCGTCTGCTGTAGATCTAGCAGTGCATTCTGTCACGAAGTCTGCCAGGGCTTGGCCCTTGACGGAATGCGTCGAGGAATGACATGATTTCGCATCCCGCGGTCTCATCTACCAATTGATCGATGTTAGGTAGAGGGAAGGGATCCATAGGGCTTGTTCAAGTCCATGTAGTCCACGCACATGCGGAAGGTGGGGGGCTTCTGTGCTAGTACCACATTAGCCAACCACGAAGGATATTTCACCTCCTTGATATGCTTGATGGAGAGGAGCATGGCGACCTCTTTTTTCACAAATTCCCTCCTCTCGGCCGAGAGGGGTCTTCTTCGTTGCTGTATTGGTCTGACCGAAGGGTCCACCGCTAAGCGGTGAGTGATGACCCTTCGGTCCATCCCCGGCATATCCTCCGGCCCCCATGCAAAAACAACGGAGTAGGCGCGGAGGGCTTCGGTGATGCCGGTCTTCAGGTCTTCAGGGAGCTTGGCTCCAATCTTCAGGACCCTCTCCGGCTTGGCCGGATCGAGTGCAAAGTCTTCGGTGTCCTCGGCAGGTTCAGCCCTCAGCCTGCCTTCTTCTTCTTCCAGGGCCTTGGTGGTAATTGTATCAATCCGGAGCTCAGTTTTACGAACCTTCTTGGTGAGTTGAAGGTAGCATGCCCTGGAGCGCTTTTGATTCCCCCTCGAGTAGCCGACTCCAGTAGGTGTGGGGAACTTGAGGCAGAGATGCCTCATGGAGATGACGACCTCCAAATCCTCGAGGGCAGGCCGACCGAGGATGATGTTATGCGCGCAGCCGAGGTTGACGACGACGAATTCCACTTCGAGCTTGGCCCTATGGGATCCATCGCCGAACTCAACCATAAGGGTGATGATGCCCTCGGCGTCAATGCTTTCCCCAGTGAATCCGGAGAGGGGCGTATTGATGTGTCGGAGGGACCCCCTGTCGAGCCCCAACTCTTGGAAAGTGCTGAGGTACATAACGTTAACAGAACTCCCTGTGTCAACGTAGGTCCGGAGGATGATGGCGTCATTGATCTCCGTGCGGATGACGAGGGCATCCCTATGAGGCAGAGAGCCCGAGGGGAGGTCCGCATCTGTGAAGAAGATGGGTTCTCCCTTCGGCCTCTTAGTTGGGGGCATGTGGCTGACTTCCCCAACGTAGAGGGATTGAGCCCACTTCTTCCGTTGGCTGGTGGAGTCTCCACCAGTGTTGCCACCATTGATCATGTGGATGTGGCGTTTGTACTGCTGATGTGAGCCCTCTCCCTCGTCATCCAGGCCCCCGATTTCACGTTTCTTCCCATGTGGGTTTCCCAAGGGGATGGTATTGGGGTTCACCCACTTATTAGCCTTTGGTGGAGGCCCTTGGTGATGCGGGGGGGCCTGGGGAGGAGCCCCTCTGACGAATTGGCCTGCCTGTATCAACCTCTCGATACCTGTCTTCAGCTGGTGACAGTCATCGGTCTTGTGTCCATGGTGGCGGTGAAAGCGTCAGTAAGGCTCATTAGGGCTGATGGCATAGATCTCGAGGGGTGTGCGGGAGTCCCTCTCCACGAGCCCTTGCTCTTCCGCATAGTCCAA